ATCATGTGAGAAATTGCTTTTGCTTTGGATAACTGAAAAACAGTGTGCTGGCGACAGCGTATCAGAACTGACATTAAAAATCACTTGAAATGTGCGAAACATAAGGCAAACCTAGTAGCAACAGAGGCAATTATTTGCGAGAAAGCTAAAAAGATACATGCTGATCTCATGAAAAATCAACCAGGAACTAGCCAGGATAGCGAGATGTTTAAAGCCAGCCATTTTTTTTTACATGAAAATGGATTAATCGTTTTTACATTACTTCTTATGGGAAAGGTTGGTTTGGTATACGTCCTATTCGGTATAAGTCCAAACATCAGGAACGGATTAAGGTCGTATACCGAGGTTCCACTGTACTTGTATTTGGAGTTTTACTAAATTGTGTTTTATTGAGTGTTTAGTTTTTCTTTTTTGTTTTGTTCGATTTTAGAATTATGATATTTTTGTTTTTATTTTTGTATACTTTTACAGATATGTTACTTTTTCTATATACGATATAAAAATATTATATTAATAAAATGTTGATTCAGGCTTTAAAAAATTTTTTTTATCTTGTCCCCTTTTGTATACGTTATATAACTCCGATATAAAGTTCAATCTGCTGCGAAAGTGGATAGAGTGGATTTTTCTAGCTTTCTCACTACCAGTTCACAGAGAGTCCAGCTACCGAGCTTCTCTTTGTTGATGGAATAAACTGCCGTCGTAGGAGAAAAAGGAAGTACCGTATTTAATTAAAATTAAATACACTATTTTTACCTAAGAAATTCCCTGCGTTCGGGATATGCGTAAGGAGGAAATCAAGTAACGTTTCAAAACACTGTTGCAAGTTAATTAATAGAGAAGTACTGTTGCAAGTTAAGATATAGAAGTATGTGAAAGTCACGTGACCTTAAATGCGGTATTAACAAACTCTGTATCACGATAATACCGCACGATATACTCTGTAGTATATCGTGCGGGATGACCAGTATTTTTCTAGCAACATCTAGGTTTTCATCCGCGCCTAGGTCGTCAGTTTCCATGTGAGGATGGGCTGGGATGAAGGAGGAATGACAAAGACAGGGTGCACGGAAGTGATTCACTATGCTGCTATATTAACATAAAACAGAAAAAATATTTAAATTTAAGTAACTAACATCAATGACGTTTAAAAACATAATATCATTTACGGATAAATGCTTGACCCACGTCTATACATTAATATCATACGGATAAATGCTTGATCTACGTCTATTATTTAATGCATTTATTCGGAGAGAGAGAAAGTTTACGATAAAATCGCGCGTTGGACAAATTCCTTCTAGTTAACTTCCTGAGAGCGTCGTTGAGGTTCTTCCGACAGTGAGAGAACATTCATCGATGCATTCCCTCGCAAAATGTTCACTAAGTCCTTGCAATATAATCCTTCGGGCGCACAAATAAGTCGGTAGATCTTGATCGAGAGGAGAGGAATCTTTTGCGACTTCTTGGGAGGGGAGAACTTTCTGGAGAGCGAATTGGGCATTGGGCAAACTCCCTGATCTTCTATCATTTGGTCCTTCTTTCTCACGTATCTGGACACACCCAAATTTGGTAAAATCGGATAGAGAAATTATAATTGAATCCCAGATTTTCTTGTCGAACTTCCTCAGATGAGTCGAACTCAACAGATGGTATGTCATTTCGAAAGGAAGCGTATCATGAGATGAACTTCTCTGTTGACTTTCCAAGTTAAATTTTTAGTTTTTGTTAAACTTTATAAAATGTAATATTTGAATTAAATTAAAAATATTAGTCCGGAATCTCACAAGTATGTACTCTCATAGTTCATTATCGTGGCTGTTTCGTCTTGCATTATGCTAACATTGTTGAGATCTGCTAATTGCCCTGAGCTAGAGATGGAGAAGCAGAATGCTGGAGACATAATGTTGATGAAGGATTTGCAGGCCTTTTTCTTTTAGGAAGGTTGGAGAATGACATTTTCCAACACTGGTTAAAACCATTTACCATTCATGGGTTTTTGCGAACGACAACAATCTCGTGAGCGCCGGAACTGAATTATAAATTTGCCTGAAGTAGACTCGTAATTAGAAAGCTTCTTGATCCATTTACTGAAGCTCCTTGATCCATTTACTTTCCTCTCAGCTTTCGTCTCAGCTGTAGAAAGACGAAAGTATGCAAGTATACGTTAGTCTTTCGAACGTTTGCTTGCATGGCGTTAACACACGTTGTTCTCTTCTTTATTACCATGTGTTTGCTCTTTACAGCTCTGTTAAGTGTGATGTTATCTTGATCATGTTTTCGTGTAACTGATGTTCTTACAGTTGGTTGCATCTCTACTGTTAGTTTTCTCCAACTTAATCAGCGCCTTCCATCTAAAGTAACGATTTTCAAGCAGAGGTACGCGTACCCCCAGGATATGCGCTTGGTGATTTAGGGGTATGCGAAAAAAATTTAAAATGGCGTATACACTATAAGAATATTCGGATTCTGCGTCAAGTCCTTTGGCGACAACGCAGCACTCGATGCTTAGTTTTAAATAAAAATATAATTATATTATTATTATATTTATCTGTCTTTCCTCACAATTTTCAATTTAACTTAAAATTTTTTTTACATGTAATTATACAACGCTGTATAATTGACCAAGGCGCTGTTTGACGAACACTCGAAATAAAACTTAGCAAAAATGGGAAATAAAACCACGGAAAATGGGCTGCCAGGAGGTAGGCAAGTCGCCACCACTGATCTAAAGTAATTCTCTGTAAGCACAATCACGCTCCTAAACTCCTTTTCGTATTCTGGGAGAACGGAGGAACATTTCTCTCTATCTGTGGAATAAAAGCCGAATCTAGTTGCAAAATTTCTTTTACCCTTGGAGGTAGTACGATTGGTTGGGAGGATTTTTTTTAAAGATCTACCTATTATTTAGTTTATCTAATTACGTACCGTTTCTCAAAACGACGGACTAGACTTTCGAATAGAAAGATCACACCAAACTGGGTAGTAGATAAGATGCCCTGGATCCTTGTCATACAATTGATTCTCCAGGCCAATTATCGTGGACAACAAACAAATTTAGTATCTTTGACTAAACGAATATATTTGTTGAGAGATGTTACGGATTTTATGGACCACCATGTTATAAACAATAAGAAGTTTAATTCGGTAAATTGACATTGGGAAGACAATTCCGATTAGGCTACATTCCTGTAGAATGTCAAACTTAGCATAGGCGTTAACTAGCTTAAGAACTTTCTGTAAACTTTGGCCGGTGTCACCAAATAAACGTAATACGTTGGAAATGACAGCAGAAGAAATGAAACTTTTCAATTTTAAGCTCGGTTTTAGCAGGGAAGTAATTTATTTTTTGTATAGGTAAATTGAATCTCAAAATTTATATAAATGACGGTTGTTAATCGTAAATTAACGGTTACAATTTTGCGAATTGTTCTTAGAAAAATTTAAATTTGAATGTGGTTGGCGTAGAAATGTACGTTTAAAAATTCCAGCAACGATTGCTTAACTTTCCTGGCAACATTTGTAGGCGCCAGCTATATTTTATTTAAAAACTTTTTATATTTTTAATTATTATAAAATGCCAAAAAAAACTTAATTTTGAGGGTAGGGATGGGTTTTATAAAAAAATTGTAAATGCTATTAAAGAGTAAAATCGTTATTACCATTTACAATTTTTTTTATAAAACTCATCCCTACCCTCAAAATTAAGTTTATTTGCCATTTTATAATAGTTAAAAATATAAAAAAGTGTTTTTAATAAATGGCACCACCAAAAATTTAAACGTTGTCAGGAGAGTTGAACAACTCATTGCTGGTTTATTTATAATTGGAAACCAATTCAATAACTTACCAATGATATAGTCGTATTCCCTCCCTATAATCTTCGTCTTATCCCTAACTATGTCGAAGAATCTGAAGAACAATATAAGAAACATCGCTGTAGCTCGAATCAAATTCATAACTAAATTTCGAATCTGTTGTTCAACTTTACTTTTAATTAGAACGAATTAAATTATATATATATATATATATAACAAAATATTATCCAATGCTAGAGTAATATTTACTTGATTTGCAAGTGCCCTTGATAGATTTAATCTTAATTTATATCTTAAAATCTCAAGTGTGTCAAGTGAATTGTAAGAAATATTAAAAAAAGTAGTTATGCCCAAAAAACATTTTATATATAATTAATTCTGCATTTTCGTAATTTTTAGTTATACTTATAAGTCTTGTTTTTAATAGTTGACTTGTTTTTAAAAAGGTGCGTTAAAAATAAGTTTAATATTATTCCCATACGGTTGACTGAAGTTATACACTAACATTATTTATAAAGGATTTCATAATGATGGATATAGTGATAATAAATAATACATCGTCCTTTTCTTAAGATTAAGTTTTAAATTACAGTACACGAATTTGTCTAGAAATTAAAATAAAAGGAAATATCCTATAGCATTTAGTCATAATTACTGTATTAATAAGTTCAATGTTAATTTAACACAACACGCATAAATTTAGAAGTCATTAAAGGAAAACTGAACAAGATTAGTGTATGTATGGCATCAAAATTTATCTATACTAATATTATAAAGAGGTAATGTTTGTATGTAAGTTTGTATGCAGCAGGTAATCTCCGAAACTACTCATCCGATTTCAAAAATTCTTTCACCAATATTTACAATGGAACTTCGGGGTGGACATAGGCTGTATATTATTCCGTTAAACATTCGTATAAATTAAAACATATCATCTAGGTTAAGGCTTTTATGTCCAACAAGATGGCGCTACGAGTACGACGCCCTAAGTTTGCTTTTCTGTGAGGCATTACGCTTTTCTGTGAAAATGAACTAAAGCGAATCATCTTCTATCTATCTATATAAATAAAAATGCAATGTTCGTTTGTTCCTACCGATTTCTTTGAAATTTTCACACAACGCTGCATTCGAATACGCACGTGTTTTTATATAGTATACGTGTCGAAATTCCCCCCACTGGGGGAGATGGACAGGATTAAGGCTTACCGTAAAGAACTCTGCTTCTATTTATACTATTTTAGATGCGGGTTTTTGCGTTTTTGATTGCGTTTTAATAGGGTACGTCAACAGAATATACACTACAAAGGGATTTTTCGATATTCCCCCCCGCGGGGAGAGGGACAGGATTAAGGCTTACCGTGAAGAATTTGGCTTCTATTATACTATTTCAGATGCGGTTTTTTGCGTTTTTGATTGAGTTTTAATAGGGTACGTCAAGAAAATGTACACTAAGGGATTTTTCGAAAAATTCCCTCCTCCCACGGGGGAAGTGTTATACATTTATAATAGATACATTTTGAGCCACAACAACGCGTGGCGGGGTCTGCTAGTTTGAAATAAATAGGAGAGGAAAGAACACGCTACCTATTTAAAAACCAGATTTCAATCACATCATTGCCTGTAACTATGGGTTACTTGTATCGACCTATTTTCATACTGTAATCAGCATTCTCGTTCATTATCGTCGCATCTTTTTAAATACGAAAAACATATTTATATGTGAAAATGTATATAAGCAAAGATATACAGTAAACACATGCTATTTTATATTTAATACAATATTTTATTTATTTCCGTAAAAATCATATTTTTACTTAGCAGATAATTACTGTAATTACAAAGAAATCTTTGTTTTTCGAAAAATAATAATAAATAAATACATCATTATATTATGAATTTAGAGCTTTAACTAATCTATTTGTTTATATAACACTGAAAGAGATGTTTAATGAATTAAGAAACTTTAGCCCAAAACACACGTTGCAGTGGATATATGTCTAAAGCAGAAAAGTAATTACTTCAACATTTAAAATTGTACATGGAATGTTCACGATTGTATATAAAGTCTTATACTTAATTAATAAAACTTATTGAATTTAACACTAGCCGTTTAAAGATTCGATATTTATTGAAGTTACGCAATTTTAGATTATTTTATAATTAATAAGAATGTTTCTAACAGTTATGACGAATGACGAAAAAAGAAAAATGTAGACGATTCATAATGAATCAAAAAAATTCAAATATTAAATAAAATTTCAAAAAGTTGCAAGTTTGTAGTCAAACAATCGCACTACTAATACCGGTTCTCGTTTGATCACCGAAATATAGGAGCATCGGGCTCGCTCAGTACTTAGGACGGAGACGACCTGAGAATACCGGCTGCTGCTGTCACTATTCTTTTTCTTTCATTCTTCGACCTCTCTCTTTTTCTTTCGTCTAATAAAATATATCACTTCGCGCAGTTAATACACTATTCAAGCAAACATTTCTTTTCTATAACCTTTAGCTTCCTGTACATTGCTTTAAAAATTCTCGGTAAACATACATTGTATCAATTTAAAAAGCACACTGGGCGTTTAAATGCGTTTATTACGAGTAAAAGAACATACTTCAGCTATCATCAAAATCAAGCAATAGACTATTTACTAAAAATACAAATGGCACAAGTCTTTAAATGTGAAATAATAATTTGAGTTTAGAATTAAATAAAATTTGTACATAGTCGCTGGATACTAAGCAGATAGGGGAGAGCCACGGTAATACTGTCATGGCGAAAATTTTGGTTTGCAGTAAATTTCAGTCCGCAATCTTTTAATAAACTCATTTTTATTTACAATGTTTAGATGGTATCTGTAAGTTTCGCAAAACTATAACTTATGT